GTCAAACTCCATTTTCAAAACAGGAAACATTAATTATTCATCGGTGTTCAGTTTTGAACATCACTGTTTTTCAGCAAGGTTTTCTGTGATGGCTGCGATGATACATTGACCCCTTTAGCTGATGTGGAACAAGATACATATGGATATATTTAAATCATATTAAATGTTGATGAAATTTCATTAATTTTTAGCTTGTTCTCTTTCTCTTCATGAATGATATTCAATGAGATCACAGCAAATAAATCCAGTCTATTGTAGTATGAGCATAAAGCCATGTCCCTGTGAAGGTAGGGAGCAGTCAATGTGCCCATGGCACACATGGTCTGTCTGTTTGGTAATGCCAAATAATGAGAAAATGATGGGCTTGGTTCTTTATATGAATATGTCATTTCCATGTGTTGCTAAAATTATCACATTGGGTGGGGCTGGAAATGATTTCTAGCTTATTGGTTGGAGTTGTTCTGTAATTCTGTTGAAGTCTTTCTGCTTGCAGCTATGCCTTGCCATGTGTTAATCCAGCCATGTTTTATGCAAGCAATTCTGTGGATGATCTCTTCAGCTGCAGTTGATTTATGTTTAAATTGGATATTAGTATTTTTATTTTTCCACATGAGGATGTTTGCAGAATTGCAGTGTAAAGGAATTGTTACCTTCCATGTATTGTAGGACATGAACATTTCTAACAGAACAGCCTTAGGGAAGTGGAAGTTGGTAAGGAAAGCACCAGGCTGGGATGAGCACTTACTTTATTTGTGAACACTATCAGCACTAGTTTAAATGCATCCAACAGCTGCAGCATCTCACTTCAAGGACCCAATTACGTCTCTGGTTGCTGTGTTTGACCCAAAGGCTTTGACTTTTTGTGCGGTGAGAACCCTGCCCACATGGCTGTTCTGAGGCAAGTGGTACCACTGTGAATTGGCTCCTTGGTCTCTCTGAATTAAGAAACTGTATGGAAATGTCATAAGGCTCCAAGTGGGTTTTTCAGATTTGTCACAGGAAGACTTAAATATACTTTGACAGGTCAAGGTTGATGTCCACTGGGAAGAAGGAAGTTGCCTCTTACTGAGGAGACATGAAGTAGCCATGGAGGGAGGCTCCCTGAAGAGTACCTGCGATGCTTTTTTGAGACCCGAGATCTTGTGAAGGATGGGTGAGAAGAGAAGCTGATAGACAACACAGCATGTGTTGAGATGCTCCTTGGACCATATAGCAAAGTTAACACCTCACAGACCTACAGCAAGCAGAAGATCTTGTATAATCCAGAAGCTAGTTAATGTCAACTAAATCCAGCGTGGGGATGAGAAAATGCTGACAAGGCCAAAAGGCTAGGAGCCAGACTGCCCAAAACCATTCGTCAACATCACATAGCTGTCAGAAGAGGAAGGAGCTCAGGGAGCAGCAGGAAGGTTCAGCTCAGGGAGGACATGTGGGAGAGCTGGAACTGCTGTTGTCCTTCTACTTTGCTTTGTCTGCTGTCATCACCCTGCTTCCTCTTTGCTCTCAGCTATTATACTAATATTATTGATTTAATCCCATCACTTTTCCAAGAGTTTTGGAATAATAGTGAGTTATTCCTCTTTAGAAAGAAGCAATCCTTCTCCAGGGAGATGGGTGTGGTAGGAAAATGAAAAGGGAAAGTTTCTGGCTGAATGTTGGGCATATCACAGGCCCACTTGCTTTGGAAGAGGAGCTGTTGGCAGGAGAGCAGTCAGAAGACACATTATACTACCATGTGTGTGTGTTCATTGTGAAGAAAGATGAAGATGCTTGCCTTTGGTGAGGGGAAGATGTGTGACTCAGAAAGCAAAGATGCTGCTTTTATTCTATGAGAACTTCTCTTTGGATTTTAGGAGAAAGCAGGTCTTTCAGCAAGCCTCTGCTGTTGTCATGTTATATGTTTTGTCTATGTATATCTAAAAGAAGTAAAATTAAGTAAAATAAAAGTTTGGCTTTTTGTTATTAGTAGGTAATCACCTCCAATCTATTTTTTATCCTTGGTCTGAGTAAGCTAAAGTATAGGGAAGTAAGATCAAAGTAAACTTCTGAGCTGGCAAATTCACAAAACCAACCTATCTCATGTTTCAAGTACAGGCAGTCACCTCCTTAATGTGCCCTCTTCAACTTCCATCCTACATTTTTAGTGCCTCCTTTGGATTTTTTTGAAACTAGATCATGGTACTTTTTCTGCTGAGAGCTGAATGCCCTTACAGGTTCTGACATACAACTAATTCGATCCCAATGAAAATGTGAGATATTACGGTGTTGTTGATGATTCACAGACCTATTTTCTCCCTGTTCTGCTGCTGGGATCTCTAGCTACTCAGCTTCATTCCAGCTGTGGTTGTCTCAAGATGTCTTGTAGCATCAACATTGTTCAGTTCAACCCCCTTGGATAATTTTGCTCAAGGCAGAAAAGATAAAGAGTCAAAAGTAGGGCTGAGGAGATACTGGGTACTCATGCTCTCACCAAACAACACTCAGATCCCAACATGTAGCACATGCAGTTGTTTCTAAGTAGCTTCTTGCATGATATTTGCTTTGTGCTGTGCTTATCCCGGCATCACACCTTGATTTGCTTTACTTTGCCTCATCTGTTATGTGGGCAAGGCATGATCGAGGGTAGTTAAATGTGAATGTATTTTTGTGTTAAGAAACTAGAAGTTACATGTGAATACATACAAGACATCAAAGGAAATTTCCTTGAATTTCCATGTACAAAGGCATTCACTGTGGAAAACTCAAGTCTCTTTTGCTCTGGGTGTGCAGTCTTACAACCCAAACATGAGTTATTCTCATTCTTGGCCATGTGAGTCATTAGATCTACCTTGTGTACAGAGGAACGTGATTATCGATCCATGCCAATGAAATGTATCATACTTCTATTATTTTTACAGCAGTAGCTGCATGCAGGGACAACATAATAAATAGTTAAACGTCTTCCAGCTCATAAATATTACCAGTTTATTATTCTGTTCTGGATTACTATTGTCATTCTGGTGGGAAGCAGAGGGGCCATGTATGAGTCATAATGCATATGTAGGGCAGAATTCATCCTCTCAGCAGAACTTTACAGTAGATTCAGTGAGGAACTGGATTTCCCTTCCTTATTTTCTTCACTTTCCGTTGTTAGACTGTGTGGAATATGGTGTGTTTTGACTAATGACATGTCAGTTATTGATTATTGGAGCAGTATTGTACATCCAGCCAATAGGATTTCATAGAGCATATATCTACAGTGTGGGACTGTGAGTATCTACCGGCTTTCCACAAGCCACTGAGCATATGACTCATGTTAAAAGCTTTTTTCTTAATTATTTCTTTCTTATTAAAAAAAAAAAAATGTTTCTTCCTCTTGGTCTAACACAAACCCTCTGTGGGATGTGAGGCTCCAGCAGTGACTCACTGGGCAATGAGGCAGCAGTCTCAGACACTGTAATGTGAAGCAGAAAGGTCTTGTGCTTGCTTTCATAACAGTGTTATTCATTCATTCATTAAAAATTAAACACACAGGATACATAATGTTTTCAAGTTTACAGATATCGGTGAATACTTTCTTGTTGTTTCTTAACTTTTTGAGACTTGAAGTTGCTTCAGTGGTTTTGATTTTTGTTTTATTTGGGAGTATCTACTGTTACAGTTAGCTATAATTCCTATAACAGAGCAGTGTATGTCAGAGGGGGCCCTACAGATGGGGATTCAGTTTCAGAATTGTGTCTTAATGGAGTAATGGATGCATTTTTAGCTACTGTAATGAGTTTATATTTGTAAGAAAATTGTGACTTCTATATTATTCATCTCTTTTTCACTAGAAGTTGCTGGTTTCCAACTGTGATTTTAAAGTGGGGTTGTTTTTTATTTTTTGAAGTGGAAAATCAATATGCTCCAATGGCTTTGAGATGTAGCTCCCTGATAACATCTCTACATTTTTTCCCATGTGAGAATGCAACATTGAAAGCTTTGATTGGTCAGAGCTGAGTGCGATGCTATAGAATTTAAAATGTTTGAAGAGCTATAATGTGTTACATAGTTTTGTCTAGGCCAGTATATGGCCTCGTTGGCCACTGTCAGGTGCTGTGATAGTGTACAACAGTGGACTGAGCACATAGTGGCAGACAGTAGCTTGGGATTGCCTTGAATTTGAGGTGATAGTTTTGAGGTAAATAGATTCAGAAAGCATATTGTGTGAATTTGTCTCAGTGTATAAAAACTGAAGTTGATTCAGACATCTACAGCACTTTGAGGCAGGAAGCTTTACAGTCTCAAGAAACAGAAGGTGAAGAACTATCTCCTTATAGTAATACTAAGCTGGTACTTGACAACTTAATTTGATGCTAGACTGTATCTACTTTAAAATGAAAAAGAAATGTTCTACTTCTTGCTGCTGCTGTGTCACTTGTTTGGTGGATCTCCAGCATAGGCTCCGTTATTTCTCTTACTAAAAAAGATCTGTCTATGCCATTGTTTCGTGTCTGCTTTGGAGCATTGTTCCTGCTCTTTTCTGCATCTTTCCGAGTTGTTACATGTTAAGATGAGGAGCAGAACTACGTGTACTGTTCATGAAATGGTAGGCCGTGAACTTACTCAGAGAAATTATTAGTTTCTCTGTCTTCTCTGATTTTCCTAGTAACTGGCAACTTAGAGATTGTTCCTTTCTTCCCCACAACACTATTTCTCACTCCTGTACTGTATACAACCTGCTGACTTGAATTTGGTGAGACTGTAGGAATATACAAGTGACAAGAGAAAATTTGGGCTAATGGTTTCTGTTACTCTAAAGCTCTTCCTGATGTAAGCAAGCCCCATTGGAAGCTGTTGCGTTGGTGAGTGTTAGGATGGCATTAAAGCCTATTCCTAGCAATGTTCTAAGCAATTTGTTCTTTTCAAGAGCTGGGTAATAACTGAGGGTGGCTTCATGATCCAAATGCACATCTAACTGTTCTGTACTGGTACGTTAGCAAGCATACAAATTTATATGTTTATTTTCTTTTTAATTGTAGGTATTTATGAGCCGCCATTTGTTGTACTATTGTGGTGAACCTACCCTGGATGTGAAGATTGCCTTTTGTCAGGTGTGTGTTCCTTACAGGTAAAACAAGGTACAGTATACACTTGTACTTTATTTTTACATTTATGCTAATAGAAAAAAAAAGTTAATGTCTGTAGCAAATTGAGAGTAACTAGCTGTAAGAATTAGAGTAAACATAAAAACCAGAAAAATGCATCACAGAAAATTTCTATTTAATTTGATTATCATCGTTTGCTTTTAATGATTTTTGCTTGCCCAAATATCTGTTGATGTGATGAGAACAAAAAAGTCTTGGCTGTTCTTCCCATAAACTTAATGATGAGACATTCTTCATCCAAAATAACTGCACCTATATAAATGCTTTCACAGAAATATGTGAATTAGATTTATTTTATCTTACCGTCTCTTTATGTGAGACAGAGGTTTTTACATTGTAATCAATGAATACAATTTTCTGTCCATTAGTCCGCATTTGCTGGGAGTATGGAAAAAGTAATTGAATTGGTGCGAGATTTGTACTGTCCTCAGTTGAACAAAATATACTCTGCAGGTTGTGGGGTCATGAGACTGTGCTATAGCCAATTCTGCACTTGATATCAGCCTTGAAATTGTTCAGTCACAGTGCTTTAAAATCTATAGAGCTCAAACTAACTTTGAGCTGAAGAAAACTGTGTATTTTTATGCCCAATTTTTGGTTCTGATGGTTAGATTAAGTTAGTTAACATACATAGATGTCAAATCACTGAATGTGTTTTTCCAGTATGAATTCAAGGTGACTTTTTAGTTGACTTCTTATGAAACATTTTGCGTTTGAATTATTTCTTGTTTTTTGGTTTTGGTGGTGATGTTGTTGCTTTGAGATGGAATCCATTATTGAACTTGAGGGAGACTAGGGAACAGTCTTCATTTTTTGAGAGGTGAGAACAATGTTGTGTTCCTGAAAATGGAATTGTGGTAAACACCAGTATTCCCCTTTATGTTACTTACCTAGTGTCAAAGACAGTGAAGAGCTGAAGGCTGTGAGCTGTATGTAAGCAGTTAACGTGAAACAGTGACGTGTATTGGAAATTTTGCTGTCTGTTTTTTTAACTCAGTAGTGCCAAATATTGGTTCTGCTGGGAAGGCTACCTCTGAACTTTCAAAAGCTTCAGCACTTAGTTGGATCTAGGCTATTTGCTTTGGAAAACTGCTTAACAGCCTTCTATGTCCTTTCTTACCTCCTATTTTCTGTGTGCATGTGATTTTCTAACTTGTTTAATTCTTCCACTTTTTCTTGGCTCAGTTTGGATAATTGGATCTGTAGACTGCACAAACAGCCTGAAGTATCCTCCTCAATGAAAATTTTTATATATAACTTACACAATACATATCTTTCAGACCAGGGAGAAAGAATTTTGGAAGAAGAAAGGATTTTTTTTAATTTTTTTTTCCCCCCACAAAACAGTGCTTAGGTAATTTTTTAGACAGAGCTTACTTGAGGGAGGAAAAAAAAGAAAAAGAAAAAGAAAAACAGAAAAAAAAAACACCCCACAATGTTTTGCAGAAATTGCAAAAAAAAAAAAAAAAAAAAAAAGGGGAGGGGATTCTACACTATTCTACACTGAGAAGTTCTTTTCAGTGTACAGAATACAGTGTTTTGCACAGCTAACTATCCTCCTCCTTTTACATAAATTAAAGAAGAGCTGTACAGAAACATTTCTATTTTACATGTGCAAGGAAAGATACTTCTATCATTTCCTCCTTACATTCAAGGCTACTTCAGCCTGGATGTCAGTCAATTCCCAACAATGTACAGTGAATGCTTTCTGTCAAACAGTACCCAGTTCTTGATTTAGTCAATAATCAAAACATGCTGCTATAATTAATCTTCTGCTGATACTCCAGTTTAATAAGAAGTGTTCATAGAATCATAGAACAAGGTTTGAAAAGACAGCTAAGATCATCTAGTCCAGCTGTCATAGCCACAAACAGTACTTAATGTCATATTAGTGTTTTTGTTAAAGAATATCCGATGAAATCAACAACATTTTGGATGAGTTCTTGTAACTGGTGTTGGGAATATCCAAGTAATTTCGTCATGGCAGTATCTCTGGTAAAAACAGATTTTATTTGCAATTGCAATGGCGGGCATCTCACAAGCTGGAGCACACCTGTGGGCACAGTAGTACAGCTTTTGTGCCTTGTGCCCCCATGCCTATCCGCTCCCCTGTTTTCCCATTGGCTGGGTACTCCAGATTCACAATCTTACCAAAGACTTACATTTGTTAATTACATTCTAACACTTGTTGATTCGTGTACTATCTTGTGCCAGTCAGTCGCCATCCTGTTTCCAAGACATCTCAGTACTCTCCTTATCATACTGATATGGTGGTCCTCTCCAAAGTTTCTTCCATTCTGTCCAAAGGCCGCTTCCTCTGTTAAACAAAGAGCACCAAGGGGAGTGATGCCAGGCCTTCCCAATGCCTCTTCAGGGCTTCCTTGGGCACATCATGACTGTTCTCAGGATTTTCTTGCAATGTGTGTGACAAAAAACTACATATATATTCATGCTGACTAGACATAAATCATTGCTAGCTATACAAGTTTATTGCTAATTATTTATCTTCTCTTTCTTAAATTCTCCATTACTCGGGTCCTGCCTGCCAGTACCAAATATCAGTAAGGCTCAGAGGTATTTCTGAAGGCTGGACAGACAGGACCTGCAGTCTTTGTGCCCATAACCTACTACCTAATCTCTATGATTTTAAATTACTTCATGTATATACTGAACATGCATTCCTGAGGAAGATTCATCAAGAGGATAGGGAATGCAAACTATCAGAGACCTCTCCCCACGTAAAGTGAAAAGACTCCCAAAAAGAACTATGGTGGTGGAGACCATGAAATAAAAAATTTTGTTCTAATGTAGAAACAACATTTGATTCCCACACTGGGTGAAGCCAATCCAAGGTAAATAACCATGGCAGTATCCGAAGAGGAGTCATTCAAGAGTGCGAGAGATACTACTCTGTCATTACAGGAAGCAGGATTTTGTCCTTCCAGCACTTGCTGTACAAACAGCTCTTCATGATCCTCATATCTTCAGATGTATACCCTGAGGATTAAAGCTAGTTTAGGCTGCTTCTTAATTTATTTTCTCCAAAAAGATAGGCCCTGATCCAAATCACACTCAACCACATACTCAGCTTTAAGTACAAGAGCAGCCCCTTAGAATTACATATTTTATTGCATTAAAATCTCAGCTCTTGTGGGTGCTGTTCATGTGTACTGCAGAGGGCAGGACGTGGGATATAGGTGCAACCTGGTAACGTTTGGTTAATCATTTGGTATAATTTTAGAGAGAATTCAACAGTCTTCACGTAGTAATTTTTATTCCATATTTATTCACAATGCTAATGGAGAAGTCAAATACTCTATGATTTACTGTGGTCCGAATATAAAGAAGTTTCTTTGTAGCTTTTGGAAAATTGTATAGAATCAGGAAGCCTTAGAGCTCCCCAGCAGCAAGATGTGGGCACTGCCACTCAGTTCTTGTGGTGAGTGGGAGCCAGCCAGCACACAGATAAGAGACCCCAAAAATGCTGTTTTTGGTCAACTTAATTCAACTCATTAATTTTTTTTTTTTTTTTTTTTTTTGGTCTGGTTTAACAACTGCCAAAATTTCTTCTGCTGTACAAGTATCCAGCAGGTACCGGCACAAGTCAGCGTTATGCAGTTGGATGCTGACCTGCTTATCTGTCAAGATGAGAGCTTCTGGTGGTCATGTGCTGTAACATAAGATTTTTTTTCACTGGAAAAATCTCTGACTATCCCAGGTCTATGTCTAATATGTTGACCATGTGGAATAGAATAGCCGATGTGGAAGATGCATGAGTAGTCCTGCTCCTGTTGGAATGCATGCATCACTGTGGACTTCCCACCAAATACTGAATTGTTCTGAAGTGTTCTTTTAGAGGTGACGTGTTGAAAAATACCCCAATGATTGTTACCACTGAGGGCATATACTTCTTATAGTAACTGTTGTGTGGGGACTTCTCTCATCTCCTGAAGTGCACAGCTTTGTGCGCTGTGGCAGGAAAAGACATCCACCTATAGGCTGCTTGTTTTAGCATACAGCATATGGCATTGGGTCTGCTGGTTTTACATGGCGCAGTGCTAACTCAGCATGGTGAGAATATGAAGAATTTCCAACTTAAGAGAAGAGAAAAGCCCTTTTTGAGAAACAAATCACGATTGGGGAAATATGACTTCTGCTTATTTGCAATTAAGTCTATCATTAACTGCAATTTCGTAGGCTGATGTTTTTCTGGAAGAGCTGAGAAAAATGACATCTGCTTTTGAAAAACAGAAGGATGGGACAAAGGTACTTAGACTTATAGAACTTCATTGATCGTTAGTAAGGCTGCTCTTGTCAATAGGCCACATCTTTAGGGTTCTGGACATTCCTACTGAAGCACAACATGACACAGACCCCTGGATTTTGAGTAGAATAAGATGTTCAAGTGCTGAATAATAACTAACAATGGATGCTGCCAACCAACATGAAGAATTGTGCCTGGCAGAATTTTCACATTTCCTAAACGTTAGCTGTATAGGATGCATTTATTTACACTTCATTTGCACACACCCCCACACATTTTTTGCAGGACTCAAGAGCAGTTCTGCAGTCTGTGACTGTGCCTCTGGGTGGCTTCTGCCAGGGTTTGGTAATTGCAGCATAATACTATTCCATGATTTTTGACTTGAAGTCATAAATAATCTTGTCTTCGAAAAACACCTTTCTATTATTCAGTTTTGTGCCTCACAGCACTTCCATAATGCTGCAATAATATATTTAATTTTCTTCCAAAAACCAGGCACAGTGGCATTTTGAGATAAGACATCTGGGATTCAGCCATACATACTAAGAAAATGCTTAATATGAATCACCACTGCAACATAGCATGCTATTCCATCGGCACCATCATTAGTCCTTACTGGACAGTCTGAACAATTTGATGCCCCGGATGGAATACGTCAGTGTTTCTGCATAATGAAATTGGAATTGGTGCTTTATTGATACCACTTAAA